TCGCCGGCGCCATGGCATCCAAGTTTCGGAACTCTGGCCAGGTGAGTCAGCGAGGGTTGTCGATGAGCTGGGTGTCTGTGCGCAGGTGTGTGTTTTCACAACAATCCTCCCACTTCCAATCCTTATCATCTTCTAGAGGGATACGGTAGGTCGGACTCATTTCGTCATGCATTCTTTTTTTTAATTTGTTGTTTTTTAAACTTTGGTTGTGCGTTAAAAAAGAAAAACAAACTCACTGCCATCACACTAATTCTGACACAAAGAGATGCTAAGACAGTGGTTCTCAACCTCCCTAATGCCGTGACCCTTTCCTACAGTTCCTCATGTTGTGGTGACCCCCCAAACATCACGTTACTTGCATTGCTACTTCATAGCTGTGATTTTGCTGCTGTTATGAACCAGGCGACCCCTGTGAAAGGGTCATTTGACCCCCAAAGAGGTTGTGACCCACAGGTTGAGAACCGCTGCCCTAATAGGATAGGGTACTGCCCCTTTAGGTTTCGAAGACCTTAAATCATTTACAGGACTAGACAGCCTCAGTTTTTCAATTTAGAGTGCCTAGTAGATTCGAACTGCTGGCCTTGGGATTAGCAGCTTCACCCACCAGAGCTCCTTTTCCTTGTACATTAGTTGAAGGTTTACAGAGCAGATCAATTGCACGTTCACTTCATGCACATCGTGTTTCATCTCATTGATGGCCATCCCACAATGTCACCTCACTTATCATGTATCCCACTTCCTCCATGTGGTTCTTGTTTCCATTCCCCATTCCTTCACTCTTTCAGGGAATATTTAGCAAGGGTTTCTTGGGAGACTATGCTGGACTCTAAGGATCTAAAGAAAAGTAAGGTGTACTTCTCGGCTGTGAGGAGGTTTCTAAATAGCCAATACCTTTTAGTCTATTGTTGACTTTTCTTTCTCCTGCCCTTTGAACCTGGTTATTTTCAGTTTTTCTTCCTTGAACAAGTCTAACCATCTTCTTGACACAGTATGCCCCTGGCCAGGTAGAGTTTAAGACCCACAGTCTTAAAGGAAGGAAGGTAGAGAAACCTTGAGGTTAGTACTTTGGAAAACTGAAAATCCTATTCCCTCCCCAGACCTACCTGGGTCTCGTCCTCCTGAGATTGGAGATGCACTGAAGGTGCACACCCAAGTGTGTGAAGTATTCCAGGTTGTCCTCACGGAAAAGCTGGCCTAAGCTGAGATCTTCTTAGAAAATCTTGGAGTATTCTATATGGCAGGGAGGCTTAGGGTTATTCAATGCAACCCTCAAACATTTTACAAATGATGAAAAGACACTTGGAACTGGGTAATTGGTTTACTTAAAGTTATACCTATCTGGGTCACAGTCTTCTCTCTGCTTGAGTACCTCAGCCTGCGAGCCAAGGTCCCTGCTTCCTGGTTTCTATCCAAGCTGCTGCTGGCACCCTGGCTTATTCATAGGCACGTCATCCTACCGTATCATCAATAAGCCAAAAGGAAACCCATTGCCATCCAGTGGATCCAACCCACGACAGCCTCCCGTTTGTTCAGAGTAGCACTGTGCTCTACGGAGTTGTCAATGGCTCTGCTTTTGTGGAGAAGCGCCCTGGTGGTGAAGTGGGTAAAGGGGTTAGTTGCGAACCAGAACAGGTCAGCAGTTCAAACATCGGCGCTCTTCCACAGGAAGAGATGTGGCAGCCTTGCTCTGTTAAGATGTAGAGCCTTGGAAACCCCGTGGGCATCACTACTCTGTCCTACAGGGTTGGTTAAGAGTTCTGATCAGCTCAACTGAAGAGGGGTTTTTGTGTGGGCAGGGGGTGATCTTGTGGAAGTAGATTGCTAGGCCTTTCTTCTGAACTGCTAACCTTTTGTTTAACAAACAAGAAACAAACCCACTACTGTTGAGTCCATTCCAACGCGTAGCAACCTTGCATAGGACAGAGTGGCACTGCCCTTTATGGTTTCCAAGATGGTAAACCTTTCTGAGAGCAGACAGTCTCAGAGCAGCAAATGGGTGTGAACCACCAACCTTGAACTTCGTAGCCCAAACAACCCACAGTACTACCAGGGTTCTTTGTGGTTAGAACCAGAGTGCAAATTATTTGTGCCACCCCCAAACACCAAATTCTCCGCCATCAAGGCAATTTTGACTCAGGGTGACCCTGTGTTTCTGAATCTCTAATTCTAAACAATAGTCGAAAGCCTCATGTTTCTCCCATAGGGTGTCAACATGCTGACCTTGTAATTAGTAGCTCCACAGGGGACCCATTCTGCTACTCGGGCTCCTCTTGTGCCACCCCAGGACCTCTAGATGCACTCCAGAGCAGATTAATACTATCAGTTATTTACCCCTTTTTGCCCTAAATAAGGCTGTTTTTTGCTTTTTTTTTTTTTTCCAGAAATAAATGTATTTCATTTTATGAGCACAAAACATTTCAGGGTCACACTATAAAATTCTGGCTTTGGTGCATATTTCTTTCAGGCAATAAAACCACTCATTGAAATGCATAGAGCACAAAATTGTATGTAGACTTGTTTTCAGCTAGGATAAGGTGACCGGACGTCCCACTTTTGGCGGGACAGTCCCAATTTCTGGCGTTTTAAAAAATTCCCTATTTTTGTAAAGAATGCACGACAAGCTAAGGAACGGTCTATTTGGTCCATATGAACCACATTTTTAATCAAGAACACTCCAAACCCCCCCACACCCCCATCAATTGTGTCCTGCTTTAAATCTGGTCACCTTAACTAGGAAGATATGTAATTAAGAAAGAAGAAGAAAATTTATCAGCAATAACCACACTTCCTGTGATGTGGTTTTCTTTTATAATTTAAAATAGGTCTAATTTTTAAAATACAAGCAAAGATATTGTGAATCATGGTGGTTCACATGGAACAACCATCTTGTGCCCATTTTCAAAATGTCAGCAGCAGCTTAGAAGGCTTAAGCCGAGGACATACATTAGCATGGACCTCATTCCCTGTAACCTCCTTCCCTGATGTCACAGCATTGCTGACTCGGGGTTTACAGTTTTGGTCTGTTTTGTCTCACAATGGTTTGTCCAAAGACTGAAGGAAAACAATACCAAGAAATCTGCTTCCGTGGCCCTTTGTTCTTCATTCACAGATATTCATAGTTGCCTATTTGTTTAACCACTGAGGTTTAAGAGCTGCCACAGAGGGGCTTGGAGGGGAATGGGCTCTCTTTCGGTGCAGATTATCTTTCAGATTAAGCCCACCTGGGGGAAAAAGAGATAGCATTTCAGAAGCATGATGAGAACCCCCTGGGATAAGTCTTCATGCTGAGGCAGGGAATGGCAGTTGACTGATGCTCAGTAAATGGTGGCCCGGAACTACCAGATCCTTAATGTTTGAATGCCCTCCTCGCTTCATTATGACGTGTATTAATCTGCGAGGCATGGTTGTGACTTTTGTTTTGGTGGTGAGGTGTGTGTGTGACTTTGTGAATGAATGTTATTGAAAGTTTTGTCCTACCACCAACCCCCATTGTTTGTGTAAAACAGAGTCTAATCACTTAAGTGTTTAACTTGTACAAGTCAACAGTTCATGTATTGTGGTCCATAGCTGGCCTAGACTCATATAATTTCATTTTTAATCAGTGTTTTAAAATCTATGTCATTGGCTAAACTAACAACACTCTAAGTGCATCGTGTTTAAGCATGGGACTGCTAACCGAAAGGTGGTGGTTCAAAACCGCCAGCCAGCTCTGTGGGAGAAAGATGAGGCTTCTGCTGTCCTGTAAAGAGTCCAGTCTTGGAAACTCAAGGGCAGTTCTCGCTGCCCTATAGAGTAAGTGGCTCTGAGTCAGTACTGACTTGAAGCTCCAGGGGGGTGAATGACAGTGATCTCTAACATAAAAT